GCCGGATGACAGCACTTGTTGATGCGAGACTTCGAGAGCGATACCTCTCTCGCCCCGGATGTGGATTCGCTCATGAAGTGCGCGTCTTCGCGTCTTCGACGTCTGCAGGTTTGTTGAGGACGTAGAGCGGGAGAGCAGAAAGAAATGCACTTTCGTAGTCACAGAGACGCACCTTCTGTACTCAGAGAAGCTGGTTACCACCTTGCAATCTCCGTCAAGCCCGGCCCTTGGTCCTCGGTCCCGCTTCGGCGCTCAGAATCGGCCCCAAGCCGGGTTAGCAGTTCGACCACAAACGCACTGAAGGTACTCTCTGCAAGAGTTGATGACGTCGACCGCCTAGTTCTAATTTGTGACTGTTCGGATCTCTGTCGTCGGTGCTGTTCGTCACGCCGTCTACATCAGGATTTTGTGCTAGATAACCACGAGGAGCAGCTGTCTTCGTGCGCGTACACCACGAGCGAAACAAGGGAAGCCATCGTGCGAAAGGCCGTGCGGAGACAGGTGACTGCAACCGTCGCTGCGCTCTCTGTTCAACCTGCTGGTTTTGTACTTCGGGAGTAGAGCTTGCGTGCCACGTTGTCTCCCGTGTCGGCTTGCCTTGGAGATGCCCATAGACCTATGAACGCAGGGACACTAATAGCCGCAGGTCCGCTTGCGCTTGATGAGGGCGGCTTGAAATGTGGTCGGTCCACAACCTCGTCGATGTACGCGAAACCGACTACTGCTGTAGGTGGAGCTTTCTCTTTATCTTCCGCTGCGGCGCTGTCTCTGGAAGGAGCTAGCGTGGCGGATTCGGGACCCGGCGAGGTGAGTCGCAGAGAGCGGAATCGAACATGTACCGATGCGTGAAAGGTGCAGGTGCTTTGAATGTAGACGAAGGTAGATCTTCGGCCAACGCTTTTCATCAAGGATCCTACCGGAATGGAGCACTTACTGCACAGGTTCGTATCCTCTGCCCGCCATTATTTCCTGTCCGGAACACAGGCGAGCCATGCTGGTGTAATTGACAGCTGACAAAACCTTGTAGTAGTGTCCTGTTGTCAGACGGAACAGTCGCTCGCCCCCCTGTTGCCCTACACCTCTGCGTACAATCTGCAGAAAGCTCGAGCGCGCCATCCAGGCATTGCGCCGCTCCCCGCCGGCAGTGTTCGGTTTGGAAACCCTGGGCGTTCTCGCGTCGAAGGAGTGGGGTCCTGTGAAGGAAGTCATGGGGCAAGCGACGAGGAGCGTGCTTCCTACGGACCAGGTACAATTTGGAAAGAGCTATGGTACTAGCTTGGTTGTTTCCCGTGCCTTCGAACGAGCGGGCGCCGTGTGGGGCATGGCGCCATGAGCCGCGTGTTACGACTGCAGCGACCGTCCGGCGCAAATCGAGGAGGGAGCACGGCGAAGGGAGAAGGGGCCATCGCCCCTCTCGCTTCAACTACCGAAGCGTACAGCGCGTTTCGAGCAGTAGTCGTCGCGAAACCGCAGCAAGTGCGGTTTAGACATATCTGCGCATTCATGCGGGAAATATGGAACCAAGCACATGACACAACACGATCGCCTACTTCCTGTTCCTCTTCGTATTCCACCTTTGACTCCAGATCGATGGTCTTCGCCGGGCGGCCGAGCACCTAACAACGCTCCACGCGTCTCTCCAGCTGAACGTTCGCTGCGACAATGTTGATGCCAGCACCGACGCCGCGGATAGCTCTTGCAACGGGCGTTCTGGCAGCAGCGGTGCCTTGAGCGTCGACTCCAGAAGGGCAAGCTTGAAACTGTACAGTCGGGAGGACGGGAAGGGACAGGCCGGGGAGGAAGACCGGGAAGAGGTCAGCGTTCGTGTCGAGGGTGCGACCGCCCCTACGCACGGGACTTTGTGTCCCGAGGAGGGCGGATTCGGAATCCGAGAGAGAGATAGCAACGGCCTCCGTCTGGGCGGGAGGCCAGATCGACAAACGCGAGCGGTCAGCGACAGTTTCACCGGCAATTATGGTAGGGCGACAAATGACGTCGCCAGCGATTCAGATGGCCCAAGTTCTGCACCGGCGCTGTCGTTGGTAGATGAGGAACAACGGTTAAACGTAGTGCAAGAACTCGTCGAGGATGAGCTCAGCTGGCAAGCGCAGTGTGTACAAGACGGGGATATTGCTACCGAAGGGGTGGATCGGGAAGCCTTGCGCCCCAAATTCAACAGCAGCAGGAGCTGGAGTGCCCTGTCTACATCCCATGACATCAGCCCAACGCCTGCGAAAAGCTCAGCCTCAAGCTGGGATAGTATCGGCAGCTTGGACGAGGGTGCGGCTCCTGGGGAGAGCGATGGCGGAGGGGAAGGCGCTGAAGAGGGCGTCCAAGACCACCCGGAGGTAGCGCCGCCGGCAACACAGCCGTCCGTCCAGGCCATGGGCGCGGACGACTTCTTGCCTTTGTTCGCCCTTGTGCTGGTAAGTACAGGCACGGCAGGCATTTTCCCTCCTTTGGTAAAATTTACGTACGTGTTGTCTTTTGACAAGTTGATTCTTTCCGTTTGCAGCGCGAAGGCGCAGTTGTAGGCGCTCTCTGCCTCGTGGTGCAAGGTCGTCGACAGCGCCAGCTTTTCTCTTGTCGTGACGCCCAGCCCATCGCACGTTCTGCCACTCGCTATGTTTCCATCGATAATCGCTGTCAGGTGCACTCGGCGCCGTTAGATCTGCTCTTGCATCAGACGATGCTCACCCACCTGATGGACTTGGACGGAAGCTTGTCGGAGGCAGGGTACCTCGTCGCCACCTTGGAGGCCGCCGTCTCCTTCATCACACAGGTACAGCGAGGCATGCGAACGACGGGCGGCATGCGAACGTCGGACGTCCTTCACCAAACCACTCAAAACACTTCATCCCGCTCGAGAGCGAGCGCGGACACAACAACGGTGGTATAGGTTAGGTTTGTCAAGGAGGTTTGTCAAGAATGAACTGCTGTTTGAAAGGTAGCTTCAATCTGCTCTATGTGTCGTCAAACGATGTCTTGCACGGCGATGGTCGCTGCCTTGAGAGGGTAAGGGATGGTGTGCGTCCTTGAAGTCGTTTGTTTGTCGTTCATGCGGGCCTTTGCGATTTACCTCAACACTTTACCAAAGGGCTGTTGGAAAAAAGCCCTTGTGCCCTTTGTGTGGGGCCACTGCTGTGAGCATGCCGCATGCCTGCGTACAAGTGATGCTTGGGTATTCATACGGCAACGGCTTTGATCAACCGGACAGCAGGTGCCGAGATCGCAGAGGTTCCAACGTCTCAACGTGTGCTTCATCCACTTGACCTCCTTCACGACTTGTCGCAGACGTTCTTGCTGTGTTGGGGGCAATTTTTGAAGCCGATCTGCACCCCCCCTAGGAGTTTTTGTCTGAACACGACTGCCGCTCTCCCTGTTGTTCATACCGCTGTTCACCTTGTTCCTCCGCGTCCATTTATCCCCGTTTTGTCCACCTGCACTATTTTTCGCCCCGCTCGTGCAGGTTCATGCGTCGAGCTTAAGCGCGGACGGAAATCAAGACTCCTCCCATTAGAGAATCGGTACTCTTTTTCGGAAGGGGAATTGCCGTGTTGAGGGGTGTTGTCTCTCTCGACCTCTTTTCGGCTCACCTGAAGTCCTGCGTAAGTCGAAGTTGAGGGAAGGCGACAACGACACATCGATGGTGTCTTTGCGAGTCGTGCACAGCACCGCACCATTACTTTAGTTTGTAGATAGATTCGAGGGAAGCCTCGTTAGGGGTGTGGTTCTGGTAGGTTGAGGTTGGGATTGAGAACAGCTGGTGTAGATATGGTATGGAACCATCCATCACCCCACCTATTGTAATAAGCTTCAAAACATCATGCAGGTCGGTCTCCGCATACGGTCGTGGCGTCGTGCCCGGGTGAACTAATAGTGCCCACTGTACTTCACCCCCGAGATTGAGGCAGCATTTGCAGTAGCTGCTCGTTCAGGTAAGGGACCGGCGGTTTGAGCTGGTTATACCCAGTGTCTCGCGGAGATCGATGTTGATGATAGGCAAGTCACTGAAAATGAAGAGGCGGCAATACGTGGAGCTGCTTAGCACCGCTGGTGGCGGTGACAGTAGCCGAACAACCGCGGCTCGCAAAGCTTCAACTTTTAGTCTCTTTTGCGCTCTCCCACTCTTTCTCTTAGCGCTAGGCGCCAGGCGCCCCCATCCAGCACATAGCTGCCCCTCCCGCTGCCCGCTGCCCCGCTGCCCCCACCTCTTACCACGCACAGAAAGTTCGGCGTTCTTGCGAAGTTTCTGAAATGTCAGAAAAAGAGCGAACGACGCCTGCTGATTGGATGGCGCAGATCGTTCCATCTCTGGGTGCTAGTGCAAAGCTGTCTTCCCACTTGAGCCGTCTCTTTTCTATAATCCCCATAAAATGTCCCCTCGATTCGAGGGGACATTTGATAGGGATTATAGACCGCAACCGGCGGGAGCGTGGTAAACGGGGCACGAAAGAGAGATTTTCAAGATATTTCTCTAGAGGGAAAGCGAGACCTTCTAACCCAAGCCCTAGGTTGCCCGGTGCCTCCTATCAACGGTGGGCTAGGTACTTCTTCCGCGCTTGCCCCTAGTAACGCTTTCCACCCAAGGGTAGACAGACTAAGAGACAGACGCGGCGCAACATCGCCGTTGAACCCGCGGCGTAATCGCCCCTCGATTCGACCGGTTCATTACCCTCATACTCCTCCACTCTACAAAGCATCCATACTTAACGAGAGTCGTCCCCGTGTACCCTGGCACCCCCCTGGTCGAATAGTTCAAAGGAGGAGACAATCGTGCCATTCTTCGCGAGGTAAAGCAGGTGAAGAAGATGGGGACAAAAAGTGTCCCCAAAAGGCGATCTAGCCCTAAACCCTAAAGGGGTTAACAGCAGAGCCTAGAGCCAGCGCTGGGGTTTGGTTCCAAATTGGAACCGAACCATACGGTCCCAGACGCTGATAGGCTGATAGGCTGCTGCTCGTTGTCTGCGGAGCGCACATGCACGCTGCTTCGTGGGAACGCGGAGACTCACCAGGCAGACGACAGCACTCTGCTCAAAAACAGCCATGCGGCATCATGGTGTGCCCCGCATTGCACTCGTGGGGCTTTTGGCTACCCACTGTTGTCAAGCGTTCCTGTTGTCAACACCTTCGACGGTAAAGGGGTTGAACGTACGACGCAGCTTTGGCAATGTAATGATGTCATGGTGGCGAGGCGGCGACGTCGGTCAGCGGAAGAATGCTGGCGCCAGCAGTAGAGGAGTGCTTACGCCCAAGAGCCGTGTCAAGCTAGGAGACTTGTCGGTATCTCCCATGGGTAAGCCCTCAGCTGGTACATTGTCCAGTGACTCAGCGAAAACGGGTACAACCGGTGTATCACAGCCCTACCTGTTTTGATCATCAAACAGCCGTTATCTACATAACCCTAACCCTAACCCTAGGAAGCTGCCTTCCCATAGACGCGCTGAGCACCGAGTTCAATACAGAGGCAATGTGTACATATCGGCATTGGGCATGTTTTGCGTTGAATCTGTTGTCGCAATACCAGTTGATGTCGACGGACACTTTCAGCAACCTGTTCATTCGACTTGTTGCGCACCTACTTGCAGAAGCGGCAGCGATATTGTACAACCAACGGCCGCAGAGTTGCAACAGGTCAGATCTAAAGCTGTACTCGAGTACAGACAGCTGTGCTGACGGGAGGCTACTTTTGCATGTTTCCCTAAAATCGAATTCCCTCCAACAGAAGCAAGCAGTGTATTGCTTCGACCAGTTCTTTCGGGCCCAACATTTGCCTGATGTGCGGGCGGTTACTTACGCAGCAGTCAGAAGCACTTCGTTCCATTCATCCGGCACCATCATGTAGTGCTAAACTACAACGCCCGTCTGCTTCTATTTGCCAGGCCTCGGGACTTGGGCTTGGGGAAACAAAGTGGTTTGGGGCTACGAAGATGCCATGGACGCGGAGCTCCAGGAAGCGTTCAACCTTTGCGTCACGGAGGGTATTAATTGGTTTGATACGGCAGACAGCTACGGGTGAGCAAATCGAAAACAGAAGGGCTACACGCATGTTGTTCGTGTCCAGTAGCCTATTACGCCCCGGATACTCTTGCAAATGCTTATCGTTGGCCATGTTGGCCAATTGCAGGGCTCGGTACTGCCGCATCCAGTAGCCAGGATCCCTTTACCGGCTACGGTGTTCTGAAAACGTAGCGAATCCAAATTGTCAGTGGCGCAGCCGCTACCCCTGCCCCCCCGGGCTAGCCCCACAGGGGGTGTAGTTTTTGTCAGGATTTGGATTCGCGAGATACATGGTTTGCTTGCTACCAACTGCTGGGTGTTTCATTCGCGGGTACACGAAACTCCCTGCATGTTGGACCGGGGGAAGAAAGATCAAACAATCAATAACAACCCACTCGGTAGAGCTACTGACGAGACACTAAATTGTGTTGTCGTTTTTGAGGTTGGGTGCCTCACTAATTTTTCCACTTCGCCGTAGTTGAAGAGTCCTCTGGCGTCATCAACGTTAGATTCGAGACGCTACCTTATCCTCAAGTCTTCGACAACCTCCCTCGATTGAGTTGCGACAACAATAAACTTTCTTGTCCCAGAGGTACATGACCTTCCGATCTTCTACAGCCTTTCGCGATAGGCTCGAAAAGCATGCTCCCATAGGCGGTGCCAATGCTTGGTCGGCACCCTTTCGTCATGAGACAAGGCTCGCGCCGCTCTCTCTCTCTTCCGTCTCTCTCTCTTTCTCTTCCCCCCTTTCTCTCTGTTTCACCAAACCATTTAAATGAAATAGTGCCGGGCATTCGTAAGCCTCCCCCCCGTGATGGCGGGTGGCACTACGTCAACCAAGTCAAAGGTACGAACAGTTTTTTCGTGCCCGAAGGCCGTCCGACTTTTCAGCTCTCCCCTCACGAGCTTGGTGACAGTAAGCTCCGCGCTCCATCGAGCTTGGTGACCGAACGCCCACCCGCCTGCCCACCCTCGCCTCTCGCCTCTCCTCAACCAACTAGGACCGGCAAGATTGTAGGCCAAGCAGAGAGGCTCCTGGGCAAGGTTAGTAAATCTCGCCACTGCCCCGCGCAGACCATTTAGCCTGCTGGTGTTGGTCAAGTCCCTACGACAGCTTCGGCAGGCCTGGTGGGCACACAGAGACAAAGATGGCTTGCCAATGCTCGAAAAGGAAGCAGCAAAGAGGAGGCCAACGAATCACAGAAACAGTCGTGGCTGGCGGTATACGTGCAAAGACGAAACATGAGGAATGGCAGGCAGATTCGGAGATCCGACTGATCGCAGGTTGGAGCTCATCGTCATGGTTCTAAGAACCCCCAATGGGGAACGCCATCGCTTTGCCACGCTCAACTATTACATATTCGTAACATGGAACAGATTGCCTCTAGGACCAACACAAAGCAGCTGTGTGCGTTCGTGTGTTTGGTTACAGTGCCTGCGATCAGCCTGTCGTGTCAACTGCATTCCCTCCTGAACGTTCTCCTCCCCCCCCCCCCCCCCCCCCCCCCCCCCCCCCCCCCCCCCCCCCCCCCCCCCC